GTCAGGGCGATGCGATGTTCGTGCAATGTTTCTATTGCCAGGTCCACTTTGGACAGTCGAATATCCAACGTGAGATTACATGCGTCTATGTCCTTTAGACTGTCCAATGTTCTGGTTCTTTTCAGAAAGTTCAGGTATTCATCTGTGAGCCTACGATAGTTAGTACAGGCTTTTACAAGTTTGTCCTGTGCTGTTAAGAGTTGCTGGAGCTCGTTAGGTGGCATGGTGACTTCCAATAACTGGGATTCTATATCAGACCAGAGGGCCTCTAGTTCCTGACAGAACTTGTCACGTTTTTCTGTGAATGCTCCCTGGCCTTTTTCCGTGAGGTCACGTACTCGCCTAGTCTCGGGATTTTCCTCTACATTCGACGGATTGTCTACAGGCTGTCCAGCATCTATTTTCAGCTCCGCTTCTGTTTGGAGTTTTGTTTCTTGACGCTCGGGGTCATCTTGGCGTTCTTCGTGATCAGAATCCATGTTTCCTAATCAACTAACGGATAGTAAGATTAAAATAGACTTTTGCAAACGTTGGGGGTTTGCTGCCTGGTATACACAAGCTATGTTGCGTAATGTTGTTGTAACAGTTGTAACGATACTACGTTGCAGTTCCTTGTCTGGATATGTGTAGACAGGTTGTCGTCAATTTACTGTACGTCAAGGGATGACGCGTTCCTGCAGGCAGGTTGTAGCTGTGGAAGTGACGTGGAGTGGCGTTATCTGTGAAACACAACAGGCAAGTTGTAGACTTTTTACTGTAATGGCCTGACCATTAAGTATAACCACGATTGGGCTCAAGCAATAAGACTATCAGGTGCTGACAATTTATTCTCAAACCAATCTAACAAATGGTAAAAAGTCTGTGGTTAGCCACGAATTGTGTCCAAGATGACGTTTGTCCTTAGAATGTTCTCCAGTACTGGTATGACCTTGCAATTTTCAGTTTCAGATACGTGTGAGAGAGGGAAAGGTAGTAGACTGGAACACATAAATAGATTAAGAATATAATCAAACGAACTATATAAATTACGGAACGGTGTAACAGAATAGAGATTCTAATTTTGTATTGCATGTTTAATTGTGACCTATTCTGACATCGGACTCGGACTTCTGTTAAAGTGAGTTTTACTGTGCATATTGCTGTGTGTTTGTTTATTCTACATTAGCTAGAAGTATATGGGGAGGGTTGAGATCTCACAAAACATGTTTAACCCCGCCGCATATTGTAAATATTTATAATATATGTATTATATGTCTCTGGTAGGAGTAACGTCACAGTAACCATGGTAACCAAATTGCTCCGGGTACCCAAATTGCAACCATTTAGTAAAAATGGCAGCAGAACTTTTACAAGTTTTCTTAAAAAATAAACAATCTGTATTTTTATGATTTGACATTATGCACGGCTTTATAGATATAAATACATTTGAATATACATAAATCGTTCACAGTATATATCAACAAATTAAACATTCATGATCACTGGAAAAAGTAAAATCTACAGAAACGTTGCCATGCGACGTCCATAAAGGGACAACTTTTAAAAAATGAACAATTAAAGTATGTTGCAGGCATCCATTTCTTAAAAAAATAATCATATAGTAAGCATGGGCTATTGTCAAAATGTTCTAAATATTTAGAGAAATGAAACAAAACATAAGTTATTCGATTTTTACGGAAGTGAATTAAGAGGGGGGCAAGGGGGGTTCCAATAACAGCAAAACAGCAAATTGATTTGGCTTATAACTGATAACAAGGAATTGAAAACAGATAACAGTAAATGAATAATTAAAATCAGTCGGGTCCAGGACAAATCCAGTATATATCTTATTATAATCCTTTGTAATGAGTTTAGAGTTATATATCTTAGAATTGGTTTACTCAATGTAGGATAATATTTTTTTGTTATGGAATACTTTTTTCAGCATTTATTTTTGTACTTTTAAAGAAGCTCACACATGCTTGTAATTTAAATAGTGAGTGTATTCTTCGAAAAAATCAAAGAGCTGAGTCTGTGTTCCTTATTATATAAAAGGTGTTTAGGTTAACTGGTCGTATGGAACTAGGACTTAATTGCCATCCTCATCAGGTATCTCTGGCCATTTGTTTTCCTTTTTGTCGAGTCTGCGACTTTTGTCGCAAAAGCGAGACATAGTGATCACACATTTTGTAGGCGGCGTCGTCGTCAGGGGCATCAACAAATATTCACTCTGTGGTTAATGTTTTTAAAATTTGAATAACTTTTTTAAACTATCCTGGATTTCTACCAAACTTGGACAGAAGCTTGTTTATGATCATAAAATAGTATCCAGAAGTAAATTTTGTAAAAAAAAAAATAATCCTACTTATCCGTATTTTACTTATAAATGGACTTAGTTTTTCTGCCAGTTTACATTACATTCACTCTGTGGTTAAAGTTTTAAAAATTTTAATAACTTTCTTAAACTATCCTGGATTTTTACCAAACTTGGACCAAAGCTTGTTTATGATCAAAAGCTTGTATCTAGAAGATCCTAGAAGGAAATTTTGTAAAAATTTATTTCTTATATTTCCATATTTTACTTATAACATGATTGTATAACTGTTTTCTTTCAGTTAACATTACATACACTCTGCAGTTAAAGTTTTTGAAACATTTATAAGATTCATAAACCATCCTGGATTTTTACCAAACTTGGACAGAAGCTTCTTACAATCAAACGATAATATCCAGAGGAAATTTGTATGCCCCCGCCGTAGCGGAGGGGCATTAAATTTTACCCTCGTCCGTCTGTACATACGTCTGTCTGTACGTCCCAAAGTTGGTTTCTGTTCTCTAACTTCAGTTTGCCTCAACTAAATGTTATGAAACTTATATACAATGCTTATTACCACAAAACACAGATCAAGTTTGAATTTTGGTAGTGTCACTGTAACCGTTCTAAAGTTATGCCCCTGTACAAACGAAAAAAATGCTGAATTTTTCGTTTCCGTTCTCTAACTTTAGTTTGTCTCAACCAAATGCTATGAAACTTATACACAATGCTTATTACCGCAAAATACAGATCAAGTATGAATTTTGGGGGCGTCACTTTAACCGTTCTAGAGTTATGCCCCTTTACAAATGAAAAAAATGCTGAATTATTTAGTTTCCGTTCTCTAACTTTAGTTTGCCTCAACCAAATGCAATGAAACTTATACACAATGCTTATTACCACAAAATACATACAGATCGAAGTTTGAATATTGGGGGCGTCACTTTAACCGTTCTAGAGTTAACTTATGCCCCTTCACAAATGGAAAAATTGCTGAATTTTTTATTTCCGTTCTCTAACTTTAGTTTGCCTCAACCAAATGCTATGAAACTTGTACACAATGCTTATTACCACAAAATACAGATCAAGTTTGAATTTTGGGGTTGTCACTAAATTTTCTAGAGTTATGCCCCTTTACAAATGGAAAAATTGCTGAATTTTTCGTTTCCATTCACTGAGTAAATTAAGTTTGCATCAACCAAATTTTATGAAACTTATACACAATACGTATTACCACAAAACTCAGATCAAGTACAAATTTGAGTAGGGTCACTCTTACTGTTCTTCAGTTATGTCCCTTTATAACTGTAGATGATATGCAAGCGGGGGCATCATCTGTGTCCCATGGACACATTCCCCATTTATTTAATAACTTTTTACCTATTTTGTTGAGCCTGCGACTTACATCAAAAGTAGGCGAGACACTAGTACTGGGTTCCGCGGAACACTTACGAATTTTTGTAATATTTTAAAAGACTGATTGTTCGAATTTAATATGCACATACAGGGAAACAAGGATCGTTATCCCTATACGTAAAAATCAAGATAATTCTAAATACATGTTCATAGAAAAAGGAATTTATTACAAAGGATAATAATAATATATACTGTAATGGTCCTGGACCCAACTAATATTAAAATGTTTATGTGATGATCTGTGATTAAATATAAGAAGATGTGGTATGAGTGCCAATGAGACAACTCTCCATCCAAGTCACAATTTGTAAAAGTTAACCATTAATATAGGTCAGAGTACGGTCTTCAACACGGAGCCTTGGCTCACAATGAACAGCAAGCCATAAAGGGCCCCGGCCAAAAATGACTAGTGTACTGTAAACCCATTCAAATGTCTATATGTTATTGAATCCTTCTCCGAATACGGGACCACCATGTTACTAGTGGAAAGATCCCAATTCATTTTCTAATGAAGATTGGCTGTCAAAATGCTAACATTCCAATTTTCAATAACAGTTAACAGCAAATACATTCTCACAATAACAGATAACAAAAAAACAAATAGTCCAATAACAGCTAACAAGGAATAAGACAATAACAGCTAACAGCAAATATATTTTCAGAATAACAGATAACAAAGAATTAAATTGCACCAAAACAGCATAACAGTTAAACCCCTTGCCCCCCCCCCCCCCCCCCCCCCCCCCTCAATTAAGCATGGATGCAATTTTGGTACAGCTTTAACCGTAAAAGGAGTTCCTATGGGAAATTACATTGTCTATATTTGATCATATTTACAGAAGTGCAACCTATAGATAAGTTTTTAACGTTTATACGTACCGCAATATAATAATTCATTTCATTCAGTTCAGTTCAGTTTCTTGTATATTCCTCCATTAATTGTGGAGCACTACCCATAGGGTATAATTTCATTAACGCTAAGATAAATGAATATGAGGTTCATCGGACATTTCTGTTCAGTCCCGTCACCAATAGTGTTATGTGATACCAGAGACATATATACACATATGTGTATATCAATCGGAACTACTCGGCCTTTCTGGTTGCACGAAAAAAGTTATTGTACTGCATAGCGAGAATGGCCGAGTAGTTACGATTGATGTGTATATATGTCCCTGCCAATACAAATAAAAACAAGTATCTTTTTTTTAAATGCACGAAAACGATAAACGGGCTAATTATCTGACCTGTAGTCACGTCCCTATTCTTCTGAACACCACATTGATAAGATCAGGTTATTTGATAAACTAAACTAGTAGCATCTAATGGAATATCGTTTGAAAAAGACATCTACACTCAGAATGAACGGTCCCGGAAGAACGTACGTGTTTTAGGACAAACGGTGATAATGTTGTTTTCCTTCCCCTAACAATTATTATTCCCTTCTGTTCCGCAAATAAGATGCGGTCCCAGGTTTCAGATGAGTCGTATTCAAGTGATTCGATGTCTGATGAGGACAGTTTGAAATCGATTCGTGATTTGTGTAAGATACATAAACCTGACAGAAAATCTTTAAACAGTTGCAGAGGTTCAAATCATGTTTTACCTGAAAGAATTTCAGACTGGAAATTAACACATGCAAAACTCCTTCATGTTTTCTACAAGAGTGATTACCTTCCAAATCCAAAAGATGTATTACAAACGATACAAATAGTACATGAACTTGATGAAAAACAAAAACAACATGTGTCTAGTCTACAGAATTTTTTAAAGTTTGATTCAAATTTGGACGAATTTTGTCACAGGCCAGTTTTGGTAAAAGAGAAGCTTGACAGATTAGTAGCAAAACGTAATAGTTCAAATGAACTTCATCCACACAAGTAAGGCCAAAATATATGTGAAGCCTTCATACATTAAGTACTAGTGTTTTACTGAATATAACACTTCAACATCATTACATTATATCCTCGTGTATTGTGTTTTCGACCTACTTACATATTTATCAATATTTCCCCTTTAATATGTTTGAATATATACATGCCTAATATTTTTTAGAGTCACTAGTATACTTGTACATTACATAATTTTATCTAAAATATATTTCGATCTTAAATATTTTTTTTATTTCAGTTCATTAGATCGATGGCACCTTTGTTGACAAAAACTAGCGTCTTGTGTTTTCGACCTATCTAAGAAACAGGTCCAAAGTCGGAAATGACATGTCGTACAAATCCGGAATTGGTTATAATTTGATGCCAATGTTTATATCAAATTATTTAGTTTTAGAGGCGATCAAACTTATGACTCAATGAATTAAATGGTGACATATACAACTATAAGATATAAAATATTATTTTGATATCTTTATTTGACTAGTTGTACACATTTCACATGAGGCACTTTGGAAACCTTGTAGGACCTTGTATACAGTCATGTTTCTGTTCAATATACTTTAGTGAAGGCATTGTGAAGTGAGGTTGGTGAGTATTGTCTGTAATCTCCCCTGACAGACTGCTGTTTCTGTGAATTAAAATTAATTGATATTTTATTTTTTTCAGCAAAAAGCTGTAAGGATCATCCACATTTCCGTATTAAAAATAACTTTTAAGTATATCACCTAACCACATGACAGTCATGTGACGTAATGACCTTGATGTTAACTTCACATGCTAAAAGTCCTCGGCCATATTTCTAGAATATTTGTTTATTTTTGATAGATTCTTGTGGAAGGTAAAAATAGTATTAGTGAAAAGGTACAAAAATGTGATATCAAATAAAATAAAGTAAATACTTAATTATAATAACTTTACTTGAAACATCTTCACCACACGTGGTATTATTTGCTATTGTTACTAAATATAGCAGCCAAATGTGACGTCACACGGGCATGCGCAGCATACGGGAAGTGAAAGTAGAATTAGGTCGAAAACGTAAGACGGTCGAAAACACAATACGAGACGATACATTTATGTTTCATAATCATTTGAATCCGTAATTTTGATAGGCCGACCACAATTGCGAAGTACTACAATACCATGTGCTTTCTGTGACAATGCATAGAAAAACAAGCAAAAATATTGATATGACCTGAGACTGTCCCAGATGTTGTAGTATAAAAATCATACTGGTTGTGGACCAGTTACTGTCAGAAATTCACAGTTTTTCTCAAATAAATTTTATCAGGAACACTTTGGGGAAATATTCTTTTAACATAAAAAGGGTTACCAAAAGTTACTTAGTTACTTTTAGCATCATAGATCAGGATTTTAATTATATAATTTTTGTTATTAACAATGATTAAAAGAGAAGACGTATATATATGTACATTGTACATGTCAATTGATCCAAAACACATCGCCTTTCTCAGTTTCGGACCATTAATTTGGAGGTCTCCTTCCTGCTCTGACAGTTCACTTTATGTCATTTGTAATCAACCACTTACAGTCATAACAGTGTGTCGAAAGATGCATAGAAGTTTTATTTTGAAATTTATTAATCTTTTTGAATTCTTTTGAAAGAAATTAAATATTCTAGAGCAAGGTTTGTCTCAAAGTGGTAAGTTTTCCTAAATCAGGGATGTCATAAAGTTATGACGTCATGTCCTAACACATGTATCTTCCCATGGCACATTGAATTTAAAGAAAATTCAGCATTTCCCTTTGTCATGTATCTTAATCATTGTTAATAGGCTTAAACAAAATAGAGTTATTACAAATGAAGTAAAGATATTTGTCTGTTGATGTCAGCAGTCAGTTGTTTTTACGCAATGCTTCAGTTATTGAATAAAATGGCAGGTGACAGTAACTTGTAACTGATGGTAACTGTAACTGGTCCTTGACCTGTAATTTTAAGAATAGAATGTCCTTTATTTTTAAAATTTTGTAGAGTTGTAAAACCGTTGATCATACACATACTTTAGAATAAAGCTCTTCCACACTTCGTACAACATGTACAAAAAGTGCTGCAATAATAATATGGAATGAATGTTGTATGTTTTCCACTGAGACAATTGTAGGTGATCATGGTGATAAAAGGGTCACCATGTAGCTTACAACAATGAGCGAAAAACCCATATAGTACATTATGTAGTATAGTCATCTATAGGTTGCACTTCTGTAAATATAGACAATGCAATTTCCCATAGGAACTCCTTTTACGGCTAAAGCTGTACCACTTTGACTATGAAGTTTCGTAAAAAATCATATCCTAGAATGGAAAGTTCATATATGCACTATTTTTTTCAAAGGTCAAAACATAGGGCTGTGCAGCATATTTTCAACATTTATATGCCCTGAACTTCAAAGAGTTTAAACTTATACTAAAATTCTGTACTACCCCTCCCTTCACTTTGGGTCTTCCTCAGAATTCAATTCAGCCGCTATCCATGTGTATTTATACTGGTAACATTCCCGAGTTATGTCTACATGAGATGAAACATTGAGATCATATCTGGGAACCAGTACGTAAACAAAACAAAATATCTATGAATATTATATATCTCCCCAAAAGAGGCATGGTTTGTGAAACAGCTGTATTTACAAAGTGCAACCTAGCCTATATTCATGATAATCATGATAATAGACCCAGATATGAAAAATGTTCAACAAGATCAAACAAGAAAACCAATGGTCTCACTAACAACAGCGTTCTGATTAATGACAAAACAGTAAAGGAAAAACAAATATGTCAGACAGCAACAAATAACAACCACTGAATTACAAATTCCTGACTTGTCATGCACATACATACAATTGATTTTTATACGACCGCAAAAAATTTGCGTTCATATAATGCTATCACGTCATCATCGTCTGAAGACATTTGGTTTCCTGACAATAACTTTAGTTTAAGTGTATGGATCTCTATGAAATTAAACAAAAGGTTCAATACCAAAAAAGGAAGGTTGCGATTGTTTTTGGGGGTGATGGTCCCAATCGTTTAGGAATTAGGGGCCCAAAACAAGCATTTTTCTAGTTTCAGGACAATAACTGGTGTATAAGTATTTTGATTGCTCTGAAATTGTACCACAAGGTTCAATACCACAAGTAGAAGGTTGGGATTCATTTTGGGGGTAATTGCCCAAACCGTTCAGGAATTAGGGGCAAAAAGGGGCCAAAACAAGCAATTTTCTAGTTTTCAGACAATAACTTGTGTTTCAGTGTATGGATGTCTCTTAAATTGTACCACATTTTACAAAAAGAAAATTTCTTCAAATATTATTTTTTTTGGAAAGGGGGGGGGGAGGGGGGTGCACGCACGAGTAAAAAGAAAATTGGGGGGGGGGGGGGTCAGCTTTTTTTCCTCAAGATTTAAGAAATTATCAATTTTCCAAAACAAACTTGGGGGTCACAATTTATTTTGCTAATTCTTTGTATATACATGATATAGTCTGAAAACAGATTTACTAAGTATTGCGCAACAGCACAGTGTATTGCACAACAGCTGAGCAAGAAATCTTCAATTGAATATAAATTCAAAACATATAACCAATTTCAAGTTCTTTGACTACATTTATTCTGTGTCAGAAACCTATAATGTGTCAAATATTTAATTACAATCCAAATTCAGACCTGTATCAAGCTTGAATATTGTGTCCATTTTTGCCCCAACTGTTCAGGGTTGGACTTCTGCAGTCGTATCCAGTTGCACTCAGGGAAGCAGTTTATTAGTATATGTACTGATAAATTATATTGGACATGTTGGAGGTAGAGTTATTATGGTTATATCCCAGACCTCGACATGCTCGAAGTAAAAAAGAAAGATTTTTTTCTTTTCTCATTTATTTTTTTAATTCTTCGGTACTACATGTTACTATAACTAAGTGTTAAGTTGACTATCATTAATACAACTTTACTAAAAGTATAATTTCATAAACAATGCAAATCTCAATTGTCTGTTATCATGATTATCTTCAAAAACTGCTCATTTACAAGTCTACAGGGAACAATTTTTGAAGGCCTTCTGCAGTTACTTTAATATGAATCTATTATTAAGTCAACTCAGACAGTCTGTAAAGTCAACTCGGCAGGGTTGGCAAAATCCCGGGTTTTATGAGTATTGCCCAGCCCAGTGGGAAATACTGGGAAAACCCGGGTTTTACTGGGTTTTACCAGGTAATACTGGGCAATACTGGGTAATATGAAATACTGGCCTGAATTTTAAAGAGGATTCAGTGGTAAATCACAAATGCAATACATTAAAGTTGAAGAATTCAATTTGTTTTTTTTTAATAAACATAACTAATATTAAGAATTAACAATTCTATGTAAGGAAAATTAATTTTAAACATTTTTTGTTCATTACTAAAATGTTTACTAAGTTTTAGCATATGTTTATGTATATCACTAATTAATAAGTAATTATTTAGATTATAACACAGATTTGTTTATATAGCAATAATCAGTCTTTTGATTTCTATAAGTGTTTATGGCCTGTCCCCTTAGGGTGTTTATTTAGCAATATGATTCATGTGTGATTGTATACAATTAAAATTTACAATTGACTTAAACACTGCAATAAAAAGCATTTTTTCAACTTGGATTTAATATTGAAACAAAGCTTGAAAATTAACAAGGTATCCTGAAATGTCCAAAACTTGTACATGTTGTATTCTGCCCACATAGAATTAGTGGAGAAAAGGAAAAAATGGAATTTTCAATCTTCAGGAATGACTCTCAATGGCTATCTGTATAAAATGTATATATTTAGCTATAATCATGATAATACTATTAAACTACAACAAGTCTTTAGTATTTTGTGTAAAAATAAGCTTGAAAAATCATATTACCCAGTATTACCTGTTTCTAGGAGTATTGCCCAGCCTGGGAAATACTTTGCCAACCCTGCATCTCAGACCGTCAATAAAATCAACTCGGACTGTCTATAACAATGTATAATGACAACTCAGATAAAGTATTAAAAGAGTGTACAAATGTTCATGTACATTGAATGTATCCACCAGAGATCAAGTAATGGAGATGTAAATTAGCAACTACACATGTTCAACAATCATGACAATGAGCAAAACCCATACTGCATAGCAGGCTATATGTATAATAGGCAAAGACATAAACAAAAAAAATGTAAAACAATTCTAACTAGAAAGTTTTTTGAGAAAAAAGGTTAAATTGAAATTAAAAAAAAAAATTAGCAAACTAGAAAAAAATTGGAAAGGCATGTTTTGACCCACAAAAACTTTTTATGGGTTTCGAAGAAAAAAAATTGTATAATTAAATTTTAAGAGAAGAGACATAAAGAATGAAGCAGGGTTAGACATGTTTGTGAACACTCATGAAAAAACAAACTGTTAATTTTATATCAATTGGAAATAGCTTCACTCATCATTTTTCATCAGATTGCACAGAAAACAACTAACAACAATAGATTGAACATAAAGACAAAGATAAAATGTGGTAATCTAAGACTCATAGTTACTGAACATGCTGAAACTACATATAGTTCAAAGGAATTACAACTAATAAATAAATCATTATAAAATATAAGATGACATCATCATGTACTGGCGGTACGATTGCCAATTAGACAACTTTCCACCAGATACCAAATGATGCAGGGATGGCAAAAACTTGGCCTTATGACATTTACATGTATGAGTATTGCCCAGTGAGAAATGGGCAAAATGAATCTTTAAGAGGATTTTGTGATTGATAACAAATTATACAAAACATACAAGATATATAAATTGTTAAAAAAAGATCTAATATTTTAAGTTAAGTTCGCTCTATATATTGATAGTGTTGGGTGCCACTTGAAGTTACAAGTTAAATTGTTGAAAATATAGACAAACAATAATCAATCATCAAGTGTTGGAGGATAAGGGTTGGTTAAACCAAAGATTTTGACATTCCAATTTACTGCTTCTTCAATCATATCTGGTTCTAGTTTGAATTTGCATACTAATGTTGGTATATTTGTTTTTATATGTACCCCGTATGATCTGTGTTTTTTTTCTCCAGTGACGTATCTGTCAGCACATTGAAAGGTGATAGGTTCATCACTGCATTGTATAGACTGCAAGATAAAATTCAGAAACAGAGAAGGGCTCGTTACAGATTGAATGAAGGCATGTTTACACAGTTAATCCTTACACTTGGTGAAATATGTTACTTAGAGGGAGAGTGAGTATTCACAACTATAACTTGTACTTTAGTCAACTACATACATCGTAATAATTATTTAGTTGTTATGCAAATTAAAGCCACAATCGTGATTGTAGATGTGTATAAGTAATACAAGAATAAGATGATGTGGTATGATTGCCAATGAGGCAACTATTGAATTCTCTAAGGGAAAATGAAAAAAACATGAAAAAACATTTTCAAAATTTTGCTCTTGAAACTGTCTTTTGATCATAAAAAAAGCCTCTGTCCAAGTTTCATAAAATTCAATGAAGGTTTGAAAAATTTATCGATGTTTAAAAAACTGTAACCACAGACTGAACATAAATGTTGACCACAATGATTGAATGTACATGTAGGATTGCTATGTCTCACCTCTGCAACAAAATGTTGCAGGCTCCACAAAACACTGCAAAAGCTGAAAAGACATCAATTAAGGCGAGGTATATGTAATTGCACGCCTCTAGCGGGATTCGCGATAAATAACGTGCGTCGTTAGTTACGCGAGTTATCTCCTCAACTCCAAGAAAGAAAAAATGGGCACATGAAAGAGAAATGACTTCGTGCGGTCTATCACGAATCTAAACAAGTATTCCTTTGAAATCTCAAAACTTCAAAGAAATTATCAGAATGACTCCAATCAGAAATCTGAGTATCCTATTGTGAGTTAATATGACTCTATTACCACTGTTTTTGTTTTAGACACGCAGGAGTAGGTACACTATACGACTCGTGTTTATTTCAATAGAAAGTAAAAACGCCTAACAACAAAATTATAACCAAATAAATAAATAAACCAGTACGTGACTATTCTGCTTTTATTCGTATCAAATTCTTTAAAATTAAACCAGAATTGACCCCACAATATTTTTTGAAAAACCATAGTTTTTAATGAAATTCACAGTGTACTGTAGCGTAAAATTGTAGGTAACAAATAATTATATTGCATGTGAATTTGTGTGTTGGACTAGAAAGACGTTGGCATGTCTCGTTTTTTATGCAATTGAAAATTTTAGGACATGATTTATATGTATGTAAAAAGTATAAAAGATACTAAGGGGTAATCGACCACTAGTGCAACATTTATAAGTTGAGGAACAAAGGCAACAGAAAAAAACCCATCAGATTCCGTCCACAAAACATTATACACGGAAACTAAGAACTGAGCAGTATAACATCTCAGAATAAGTAAAATCTATGTAATCCAAAATCTCAGTTTTCAAGGTGTAGAAAATAAACAGGTGTCTTCTATTCCGTCCGCAATTTTTGGGGAATGTAAAATCTAAATTTAGAACCATTGTTGAAACTGAAACTAAACATGTATGTTAAAAATAGAACATGTTATTTTTTTCTTTGTCGATAGCGAAATTTAATCTTATATCTGCATGTTTGTTATTAACATATAATAAAGGCAAACTATAAGTAAGCACTCTTTAGCATATTAAGGGCAATGTAGTCAAGAGGATACTAAGAAGAGATGAAAACATGACTTTCTCACTTATACATTTTATATACATCCATGTAAAAAAATATGGATGATTGAGGGGGGGGGGGGGGGGGGTAGCTCTACCTCTAAACTTAGTTACCTGTAATAGAATATAAAATGTACTGTATCAAATGTTATTCCTGACTGTCTGATTTGTCTGTCTGTCATAACGTTGTTTTCAACTTGGCTGCAGTGTGTTCATTTCTTGGGGAAACACATTTTAAATTGAAGTTTTACCATTGTAACATGTGTATTGAGGGGATTTTTTCTTTTAATGGGTGTTGGTTTTACCCCCAGATAAGTCTGTTTACTCATTCAGCTTTTTTCTTTTCATTTTTTTATATCAGGTGGTGTTCAAGCGGAGATGAGTCCATTTGGTGTAATTTAAGAGAATGTGAGCGTGTCATTTCAAATCCAGATTGTCGTTTCTACAAACAGGGACATTTTATGAATGTTAATTGTGCAGCAGTAAAGCCAACTTCTGTAGTTTCTATTCATGAGGTAACTATGTATATTTCATTACAGTGGTAACTATGTATATTTCATTACAGTGGTAACTATGTATATTTCATTACAGTGGTAACTATGTTTATTTCATTACAGTGGTAACTATGTATATTTCATTACAGTGGTAACTATGTATATTTCATTACAGTGGTAACTATGTTTATTTCATTACAGTGGTAACTATGTATATTTCATTACAGTGGTAACTATGTATATTTCATTACAGTGGTAACTATGTATATTTCATCACAGTGGTAACTATGTATATTAAGAGAGTAGTTATTGTTGTAAATACGGCGCGAACACAACTCGGGAACGTCACTTATTCCTTATATTGTAACGTAAAGACTTTGTGACGTGTCACTTGTATACTTGGGCATTCTATAGATCGATTACAAATTATAACATGTAGAACGTTTTCTTCTTTTATTCACGTATTCTCGACAGTTATTACATAGAATTGAAGTTTGCTTGTTGAACCACAATTTCTTTACAATTGGTTGTTTTAAATATTGGAAATACTAGTTGTATTGTGTATTGGTATGGTTTTAATGTGCTTTCTACCATGTTTTTGATCAAAAAATTTCCCTTTGATTGATATAAAAATGAGCTTTGGGTCATCAACCTCCAAGTCATAAATCTATGTTTGTCAAGCTTATTTCGACATTTTGTGATATTTTTGTCCCCCGCGCAACGCATTACGTGGTACATATAGAAATACCGGGCCTCTGTCTGTCTGGTCTTGTTAGCCCTCTCACGTGTACAATTCTTGCCAGATTTTTATGAAACTTATATCATAGGTTTATATCAGCAATGTATTTGATGTGTTTTATAATCAGAACCGATCAATAATTTTATAAGAGTTATGCCCCTTGAACATTTGAAAATATTGCTTATGGAAAATGTCATTGTATCCACTCTCATGTGTACAACTCTTGCCAGAATTTTAGGAAACTTATATCATAGGTTTATATTAGCAATGATAGAAGAATAAATAAGTTCTGATCAAATATTTTTAACGAGTTATGCCCCTTGGAAATATTAATTATAAAGGAAACCACATTGTATATGCTCTGAAGCCTTCATTTCTCTAAGATATTAATAAAAAGTTTTAAAGTACAAAAAAAAAGTGCTTTTTATAGTTATTGCCCTTGTACCTTGAATAGATAAAATGCCCTTGTACCTTGAATAGATAAAATATGTGCAATGCGGGGGACATTGGAACTCTGTTCTTTTATTCTCTTAGATTTTTATTTTGACTGATGCATACTAAAAAAGTGAAGTCTGTAACTATTAATTATTTAACAGCTTTCAAAACAAAAATTTATGTGTCAGCGTCTAATCAGTATTTATTAAAAAAAAATGGTAATTGGAGATTTGTTTATTTTAAGAAAAATAATTGAGAGTTTTTCGCCAATTTTATGTGCTTTCTATACAAATGTTCATTTATTATGAAAGAATTCATTCAATAATATTTTACAATATAAAAGATTGAAATATGTTTTTTTTTTTTATTTATAAGGTTTGTGACCCCTTTCTTTTTAGCTTACTGGGGCCCAAAGGGCCCCATGTGAGCTTATGCCATCACTTGGCGTCCGTCGTCGCTGGTTGTCTGTCGTCGTCGTTGTCATCTGTTGTCGTCTGTCGTCGTAAACTATTTCAAAAATCTTCTCCTCTGAAACTACTGGGCCAAATACCTTCAAACTTTAACTAAATGTTCCTTAGGGTATCTAGTTTATAAATTTTATCCGAAGTTTTGATCCATCGACAAACATGGCCGCCATGGCTAAAAATAGAACATAGGGGTCAAATGCAGTTTTTGGCTTATATCTCAAAAACTAAAGCTTTTAGAGCAAATCTGACACGGGGTAAAATTGTTCAGTTGGTCAAGATCTATCAGCTCTGATATTTTCAAACGAATCAAACAACCCATTGTTGGGTTGCTGGCACCGAATTGGTAGTTTTAACAAAATTTTGCAGTTTTTATTATTTTGAATATTATTATAGATATATATAAACTGTAAGCAGCAATAATGTTCAGCAAAGTAAAATCTACAAAAATGTTAATATGACCATAATTGTCAATTGACCCATTAAGGAGTTATTGCCCTTTAAAGACAAATTTTACACAATTTGTTCATCAAGTTTGCTAACATTTAAAAATCTTCTCCTCTGAAACTACTAGGCCAATTACCCTCAACTTTTAACTAAATGTTCCTTAGGGTATCTTGTTTATAAATTGTATCCAAAGTTTGTATCCATCGACAAACATGGCCGCCATGGCTAAAAATAGAACATAAGGGTCAAATGCAGCTTTTGGCTTATATCTCAAAAACTAAATCTTTAAGAGCAAATGTGACAGGGGTAAAATTGTTCAGTTGGTCAAGATCTATCAGCTCTGAAATTTTCAGACAAATCGAACAACCCATTGTTGGGTTGCTGCCACCAAATTGGTAGTTTTAACAAAATTTTGAAGTTTTTTGTTATTATTTTGAATATTATTATAGATATATATAAACTGTAAGCAGCAATAATGTTCAGCAAAGTAAGATCTACAAAAAAGTTAATATGACCAAAATTGTCAATTGACCCCTTAAGGAGTTATTGCCCTTTAAAGACAATTTTACACAATTTGTTCATCAAGTTTGCTAACATTTAAAAATCTTCTCCTCTGAAATGCAGGTGAGCGATTCAGGCTCTTGAGAGCCTCTTGTTTGTTATTATTTTGAATATTATTATAGATATATTTAAACTGTAAGCAGCAATAATGTTCAGCAAAGTAAGATCTACAAAAAAGTTAATATGACCAAAATTGTCAATTGACCCCTTAAGGAGTTATTGCCCTTTAAAGACAATTTTACACAATTTGTTCATCAAGTTTGCTAACATTTAAAAATCTTCTCCTCTGAAATGCAGGTGAGCGATTCAGGCACTTGAGAGCCTCTTGTTTGTTATTATTTTGAATATTATTATAGATATATATAAACTGTAAGCAGCAATAATGTTCAGCAAAGTAAGATCTACAAAAAAGCTAATATGACCAAAATTGTCAATTGACCCCTTAAGGAGTTATTGCCCTTTAAAGACAATTTTACACAATTTGTTCATCAAGTTTGCTAACATTTAAAAATCTTCTCCTCTGAAATGCAGGTGAGTGATTCAGGCTCTTGAGAGCCTCTTGTTTGTTATTATTTTGAATATTATTATAGATATATATAAACTGTAAGCAGCAATAATGTTCAGCAAAGTAAGATCTACAAAAAAATTAATATGACCATAATTGTCAATTGACCCATTAAGGAGTTATTGCCCTTTAAAGACAATTTTACACAATTTGTTCATCAAGTTTGCTAACATTTAAAAATCTTCTCCTCTGAAACTACTGGGCCAATGACCTTCAGTCTTTAACTTAATGTTCCTTAGGGTATCTTGTTTATAAATTGTATCTGAAGTTTGTATCCATCAACAAAAATGACCGCCATGGCTAAAAATAGAACATAAGGGTCAAATGCAGTTTTTGGCTTATATCTCAAATACTAAATCTTTTAGAGCAAATGTGACATGGGGTAAAATTGTTTAATTGGTCAAGATCTATTGGCCCTGAAATTTTCAGACGAATCGAACAACCCATTGTTGGGTTGCTGCCACCGAATTGGTAGTTTTAACAAAATTTTAAAGTTTTTTGTTATTATTTTGAATATTATTATAGATATATATAAACTGTAAGCAGCAATAATGTTCAGCAAAGTAAGATCTACAGAAAAGTTAATATGACCATAATTGTCAATTGACCCCTTAAGGAGTTATTGCCCTTTAAAGATAATTTTACACAATTTGTTCATCAAGTTTGCTAACATTTAAAAATCTTCTCCTCTGAATTACAGGTGAGCGATTCAGGCTTTTGAGAGCCTCTTGTTTCATTTGATTACAAAGTTTTCTAGGTGCAATAGTATCAAAACAGCAAAATATTGAATACAAGATATGTGCCATGTTGTTCATATACCAAAGTCTCCCCAGATATTTCATTTAGCATCCTGGTAAACAGGGAAATTTGAAATACCATCTTGTTTCTAAAAATTATAGCATCACATCCATAACACTTTCTATAAGAAAACCAATTCAGATAACATCACATTCTAGAAGTATAGCATCACATTACCATGATGAATTCAAAGTAGATAGATTTTAAAGCATGATTCAGACCATTTTTACTCAAAGATTTTATCCTTTATACAGGAACAGAGGTTAAAGACCAAGCAAATCAAGATGCACTCAGTGGGTTGAAAGATGCTTCAGTTTTTTTTTATTAAAGATACCACATCATTGAATTGTTTTGCTGCAGATTAATTGGATTGTATTGTTCAGTTTCAGAGAATTTTTATCTAATGCAAAGGCATATTTTCTATTACAGATTTATATATATATCATTCAATATTTTCTAAACCATGTTTTTCTTAATTCTAAATAACGTTTTATATGTTAATGTACTTTTAAAATTTGCCACATTCTAACTTATATAACTTTATTGAACATGTTGTGATATGAACACAATACATGACTAGACATATTCTCAAGTGACTAGAATCAAACAGGATCTTTCCTTGAACTTCAAAACAAAGTATATTAAAACCAACCATTTTGTTTGTTTTTCTCGATTCTGAATCTTTTAGATGCTTCAATGCAAAAATGCCTTGAATTAAAACGCTCGTGGACTACAGCATCGGAAAGGTATCACCAAAAACTAAAATAGCAAAAAAAAAAATATATTGGACATGAACGGCCAATAAAATTTTTCGGGTCGCGATGATTTTACCGGGTCGGTCGTGGGAGGGGAAACAAACAATATTTTATTTTTGGCCTAAATTCAGAAATTTTTGCGAGGTTTTTATTAATGTGAATAATGCGACTACTGGAGAGTCACAAAAATAAGAACTCGCATTCTGATATTAAATACATATATCTGTATGTAGCTTCTCCTAAAATCGCAATAATTAAACTCACGTTTTTGTTAATTCTTCAAAAGTGGCAATAATAAATGCACGCAATAATTTCTGAATTTACAGACGTCGATTTACTCCACCTTGACCTTAAATGCATTGTGCTTGGCAGAGAAGTAGCAAGTATATGTATAATTTTAGCTTTGTAAAATATTCTTAATTACAGGTGAAAAATGCTAAGAAATTTGAAGGTTTAGAACATCCAGAAAAAAAGAGAAAAAGAAAGAGATTTAAAAGGTCACAGTCTTCAACCGAAGAATCTGAATCTTGCTCATCGCTTGGTATTTCTAGCTGGTCATCAGGACAGCTACTGGACATGTCAAAAGAACCACTACCAGAAATAATTGCAGATTTGAATGTAAAAGTTCTTGGACAGCATGCTGGTGAGCTTCTGCTGGACCTACATGAATATGGATCAGATGACCACATATCAAAGCTGACAACACATGGACTAATAATAGATGGCACTAAGGTTTGCTATGATTTCTTATTATAGACAAGGAAGTTAAAAATTCTATTTTACTTCTTTGAATCGTCATGGTGTTGTACAAGTCTCAAAGGAGAGTCATAAATTCTATAGCTTTATGTCAAGAGGTATATATTAAATGCAGACAATATAAAAATAAGAAGATGTGGTAAAATTGCCAATGAGACAACTCTCCACTAGAGACCAAATGACATAGAAATTAACAGCTATAGTTCACCATACAGCCTTCAACAATGAGCAAAACTCATACTGCAAAGTCAGCTATAAAAGGCCCCAAAATGGCAAATGCAAAACAACTCAAACGAGAAAACTAACATCCTTATTCATGTAAAAAAACGAAATGAACCAAAACTGATTACAGCTCTTGTAGAAGTAAACATTGATTCTTTCATATATATAAATCCTAGTTAAGTTAACTTCAGACAAATGTCGTTCTGATGACTAAATCAGTTTTTTAAGTACTACAATAATGAAGATTAAATTATCCCTCACCTTGGACTCATTTTTATTCACCTAATATTGTAGAATGGTTTTGTTAACTTGCTCATGCCCTTCAACCTATTACACATTTTTAGGCACATCAGAGTCTTATAATTTCGTTATATTTTCTCTGCTCTTGAAACTTTTTTTTTGTCAAGACAAGAATTAAAACCGAATAAGTTGCCAAAACAGAAAAAGCTTTATAACTGGTCTAACAAGAAAATTGAGTGATTGATAGAAATAAAATATGAAAAGTTAAAATGCAAATAGGTTTACCATACTTGTTTTCTTGCTACAAAACAAAATAGATAAATGAAAATGTTAAACATAGATCTAAATAGTCTGATTTATCTCAACTTGGAAAGCAAAGTTTTTGATTTTTAAACAAATTTAAAAAAAATATTTATTTAAAAAAATTATAACAAAAAGATAAAATCATAGAAATTTTAAAACAAGTTTGGAAAATTGGTTGCATATACTACAATCGTGATAAATAAGCTATTATTATACCACATCTTCTTATTTTTATAATTTCAGTAAAATCTAGATATATGCGTGAGGGGGGTAATGAATGGGGTTACCTTCATAACAAATAACAGTAAAAATTCTTGATGTTAAGGGTAATTTATGGTGCATGAAAATAAAATGTATACTTTCTTTTAGATGATAAAAAAAATGGCTGATTTTGATGAATCAAGCTAAATTTTTTCCAAAAATAACGGTAACGATAATTATTTGAAACCTCTGACGAATCACAATAAGGATATTTTGACGAATCACGGTAAAATTTCAATTTGATGCTAAAGGTAGCCGAAAATGACCGTTTGACGAATGACGGTAAAAGGCATCCCTATCCTCATGCCTTCATAGATGTTAAAAAAATATCCCATACTAGTTTTTTTGTGTGGAACTTTCTAGACCAAAAGTCTATAAAAAGTATGTTATCTTTTTGCCAGTCCTATATCGAGGTATATACATTTACTCTTGCCTATTTGGCTATTTTGTTATTATGTTAGAAACCTGCTGTGGTAAAAACATCAATTAAATATTGTTAAGTCCCTACAACTTATATTTCACATTCAAGTGTCTTAATAAGTTTTGCATTTTGTTTTTAATAACTCTCATTGATATTCCAACTCTCATCCTGTTATATAGTACATTTTACTTTTGAGTTACATTGATTTGATTTAGAATTTTTAAATATTCAATAATTTGAAATATCATTCATACAAATTTACATGAAATACAATTGCTGAGAGGTGATAGAGCAGATTGTTAACCCGAGGAAACATTGTCAACCCAGATGAAGCCAGGGTTGACAATGATTTTCCAAGGGATAACAATCTTCTATATCACCATCTCATCTATTCATTATTTAATTTACCATACTGAATGTCCTTTCATAATTTTTTTTTAAATTGAAAGTAATTAACTATGACGTCATGTACTACAGGCCATAATCTTGCTGGCGAAATGACGATTTAAGCCGCTAAATCTCGCCAGCCGACTGACTTCATAGCGAAGTCAAATCGCTATCAAAATAGGTAAAAGGGAGACAACTTGTGAATGACAAGTCTCACAGGTAAAAAAAATGGCGGCTGACAAGGAAAATCGAGATTTTCGAAACGACCCAGGACTAATACTGTCAACGATGAAATTAAATAAATACAACAGCGACTTTGAACATCCTCGGATATAACTTTCAAAACTGTTCTAACGGAAAACTGACCATCTGTTTAAGTTATCATTTTACGATGATTTTCACTCAGCTGATTTGTTTTATTTTTATAGCTTACATGAGTCGATCAATTTTATTATTCAGTAGGTAAAAGGTGGGAATTAATGGTAGATTTATTATATTGATTGAATAAATATTGAAATATAAAAGGTAGAAAGACTGCTGATGGATAATGTGATTGCAAACGTATGACACTTGACCAGGTTTTGATCAGCAGTGGATTGTTTCTCACGACCATGTCGTTGATATGGATGATATTTTAAAAAAATGATAGAAATAAGCTCTTTGTCGGATTGCGATTGAAAGATATTTTCATTTATAGACTTACAATCTTAAACGATAATCTCAATTTACAACTAACATAATGTCCTGGACATAATGTTTTACACAATAATGACAAGTGGTGATATAAATTAAATTCCCAGTCATGTGAAATTCATCAGGTAAACTGGGAGTTATATTTCTTCTGGACTTTTAAAAATAAATTGAGGCAGATGCACATGAATTTAATGCATCATAATCATGATAATATTACTAGCAGGCTACTCCCTCATGTCCCAATTAACACATTTTATTTACTGGAACACAATGGTATCAATAAATAAATAACAACTATATATTATCTAAACCTTTTTATTAAGAACTTTCTATATATACATTGTGTACAATAACATATGAAAAAACTGCAAGCATATCTTTTATTGAATATAAAACAATTTCCTTAGTGATAAGCATGAAAACACGATGCAACCGAAACGGTAATGGAATCTCAATTCTCCAAGAAATTGACCACTTCTCCCTTCTCTCTCTTGGAAGGAGAAGTCACTTCTCCCTCTTCAAAATCCTAGATTAGGCCCTGGTACTACATAAAAAAGTTACAGTTATTAGAAAAACAACAAAAGTGAAACAAGGTGTATTTTTGTTTACATTGACAGTCTCTGAAAAAGGTCTGAGGCCAAAACATAGAACTTGAGCATTGTCTTCAAAATAATTGATGTATAGATTCAATTCATTGTACTTTAAATTTTTGATTTTAATATGTCTGCACGGGAGAGTGTCATTAAAAAATTATCTCCTGCTGATAGATATTGGATAGAGTTAATTATCTCCCTTGTATTTACCAATCAAAATCTGCCATCTTAAGGTAAAGTATACTAATATCATAGGTTAACTAGAAATTGACCTAATAGATTGTTCCCATTTCTCTGAGACATCTGCTAATATTATTATAACCATATGTGTCTACAAAAATTTTCTTCATGTTCTTCCTGAGTTCAGCAACCTGGAACTTTGGCCTTCAACCTAAATGCATAACTTCTCAATCAAATATCTGAAATGTTGCAGCAAAAATTCTCTGGACATTTAAAAAATGTTTAGATTGAAGCAAAACACTTGTTGGATAAATATTAAAAATAAGATTGTGCCAAAAACGAAAAATTATATAATAAGTGAGTGTCAAGTAGACTAAATGTCTAGTGAATATAGAAACTTGACTTGAATTTATTTTTTACAGTTATTAAATGTCTTGAAAAAAACATGATAAATTTCATGTATTATTGTGGATTTTTTTATATGTTTCAGGTATACTTTACTCTATTGGAAATGTCAAAGAGTCATTATGAAAAGCTGTGCAAGAATCTTGAACTTGATGAAACTGACAGAGCTACAATCTATTATTCAAGACCATTAGACATTTTACATCTTGAAAGTCGTAACACCCTGATAGAAAACTTTGTACGGTTAAACAACATTTATTAACCAAGATATTTATTAGATCATGAACGTTAATAATTGATGATGTTGACTGGAGTGGATACTTTAGTTCATCAATTAGACATCATGCAACTATCAAGATAAAGAAATTGTATAAACTCTCTTTCTTTGTTATACAAAGTATATTGTGGATACTCATTTATATCTAAAAATAAATTTACCACATATTTTACATTGGTTTTAAAACTCATCAAATTTTGATAAAAAAAAGGTATCTAAAACATTACATTTATCAATGTTTATTAATTACTTGACACATTATTTATCCTGTTTCTGATCTCTCTTGTTCATGAACTTGTTAGTTTGAAGTGTTATCTTTTCCAAAACATCAGATTAAAAAGAAATCCACAAAATCTTAAAATACTTTACATGTTATAATTTGTTCTCAGTATCTCAGTACTGAAATATGTGTTTTTATGAGAGAAAAGAATACCAAGGGAACAATCTCAAACCATGATTTGAAGGAACTTAGATTACTGAAAAAAAGTCAAACAGTCAAACGAGTCCACAAAACATTACACCAAAATGGTAAAAAATTGAACACTACCTAAAACCAGAAATACTCTCATTTGTTCAGGAATGGTATTCAATCTATCATAATATTTATTTGAAGTAATATTTTTATAATAAAAGAACTAAAATTTGTTATTAGTATCTGCTTACCTTCCACCTGAGATCTACCCCAGTTTTTGTTGGGGTTCGTGTTGCTTAGTCTTAAGTTGTCTATGTTGTGTCTTGTGTACTATTGTTTTTCTGTTTTTTTTCTTTTTTAGCCATAGCGTTGTCATTTTATTTTTGATCTATGAGTTTGTCCCTCTTTTAAATCATTAGCATCATTAGACAAATCTTTTGACCTATAAACCACAAATTTACAACATTTATTTATTTTGGGGCATATAATATCGACCCCCTGAGAAATGTTTTGCCTTTGGAGCATTTTTTATATTTTTTTTTGTTATTTTTGTAACAATTGCAATTTTTTTTGTAAATATTGTGCAACTAACCTCTTAGTTTTTGTTGGCTTTTGAATTTTTGTATTCTGTTTGATAAGTTTCAAATGATATTTCAAAGTGTGTTATACAATTACCAGAAAATGGAATTGTTTAATTCAAGCAAAATGTTGATCATCAATACTGTCTCTTAAAGATATTCACTCATTGACGAATTTGCACTTTTCATTTGGAAATATCAATCTACTCATCACATAGCTCTCAAACTTTGATTGAAATTATGCATTGATTTATTTTTGAGCCGTCTCAACTTGGGACTTGAACAACTTGATACCGTATAGAATGAGGTGGTGTTTAACATGTTTGTAAGCCCTTAACCTCTAGCCTATGACAGACTTTAACAGCAAATCATAAGAACAAACTGTAAAAATCAGTTGGAAAAGACTTTACTCATTAAATCGAATGGAAGCACAAAAAATGTTTACATAAGGACATTGCTATTTGTGTCTCTCCTGCTATGTTAATCGTGGAAAGCGAGACAGGGATCGCTTTTCTGGTGACAATGACGATGATGAATCATTGATGATGTAGGCTTCAACAATTGTTAAGTTCTCTGCTTAATTAAGTTTGATAGGAACTTCTTGTGATAGATCAATGATATTTTGCATAACTATCAGTACATATCAGTTTGACAACTTTTTTGAGGCCCTGCCCCCTGTCATGGTCCAGTGACTTTGAATTAATTACCAATTTTCAGTGTTAAGTTTTCTGCTTTAGTTGGTTTGATAGGAACAATAGACAACTATATTTTCTCTTAAGTTACATTACTGTCCGTACATTTAAGTATGTTGACCATTTCGAGACCCTGCCCACTAGTTCATGGTTCAGCGACTTTGAATTAGTTAGTAATGTTGCTGTCCATCTGATTGTCTTTTTCTTAATTTTATGCAGACAGGCGAGACATATGTCTATGACAACAGTTTATTTCAACAATGACAGATAATATGAATCCAACAGTAGGAGACAACATTGAAAAATTGTTTGTTAACATCTTTATGAAAACAATATTACACATGCTGAAATGTCTCACCTGTTTTACTTATCATTGAATTCATGCTGAAAGTCTGTAATATGAATCATATTTTCTACTACAAGTATCAAATAAACTTAACATTATAAAAGTTCTATAAAAATGAGATCACAGTCCGATGAACCCTGCCAAACAGATATGTACACCTGTAATACAATCATTCAATGCACCATTTATAGTGGTACTAATCCTAAGAGTACCTGAGCAACAGATCAAACCACAAAATCTTAATATTGACCAATTAACCATTAAAATGAGGTTAAGGTCATATATGAAGCCTGCAAGATAGACATGTACAACTCAGGTTCACAACTGTTCCATACACTTGACCTATTGCTTATAATATATGAGAAATAGACCAAACCACAAACTTAAAATTGTCTAATGAACAATGAAAATGAGGTCAAGGTTAGGTAAAACTTGTCAGACAAACATGTTCACCTGACAAGCATTCAATACACCAAATATAGTGGTCTCAATGCTTATATTTGAGAAATAAATTGTGTCTGATGAACCATGAAATTGGGGTCATGGTAAGATAAAACCTGTCCGTCAGACATGAACACCTTACAATCTTTCATTGAAACAAGTTGGCCTATTGCTGATAGTATCTGAGATACGGACTTGACCATGTATCTTTGACCTTTGATCACTGATCCATGGAATAAGGTCGATTTCAGGTAAACCTAACAGACCGACACGTAGACGCTGCAAAGAGCATATATACCATGTATAGTTATCCTATTACTCATAATTAGTGAGTATTTCACTCAACAAACGAATGTATTTTTTTCAAGCAGTCAGTGAAACATGAAAATGAGGTCAAGGACAATGGACATATATGACAGACAGAAACTTCGTAGCATAATAAGTTATCTGCACACAGGACTTCTAACTTCTGAAATATTAAGCTTTAAACAAATTGTTTACGCCGCCGGATTGTAATACCTATGTCTTGCATACTGCGACCGTCCACGCAGACGAGACAAAAAGAGATCTGGTATGATTGCTAATGAGACAACTATTCAAGAGTTTGAAGCAAATTTAAGCAAACACGTTCAATAATGAGCACAAGAGTGCACACGCTGAAATGACTTGCCTGCTTTACTGACCTTTGTTTTTATGTTGATAGTCTTAAATAAATATAAAGCTTTACTACAAGTATTACATAAACTAAGCATGATCAAAGAAAATGAGATCAAGGTCAGATAACATAACCGGTTATACATGTACACTTTACATTCTTACCATACAGCAAATATAGTTGACCTATTTCTTATAGTTTCGTAAAAACGAACTTAACCTGGAAAACTTAACATTGACTAATAAACCTTGAAAATGAGGTCAAGGTCAGATGAACAATGCCAGACAGACATGTACACCTTACAATCAATTTATGCATTACATATAGTTGACATGTTGCTTATTGTGTCTAAGAAACAAATTTAACCATGAATACTTAACATTGACCAATGAACCATGAACATGGGGTCAAGATCAGATTATATCTGCAAGACTGACACATACATCTTACAACCATTCCATACACCAAATATAGTTGACCTATTGCTTATAGTTTAAGAAAACAGACCGAAACATAAGAACTTAACACTGAGTAATGAACCGTGAATACAAGGTCAAGGTTAAATAAAACCTGCCAGACTGACATGTACATCATAGAGGAATTCCATACACCAACCTCAGTGGACTTATTGCATATAGTATTCAAAAAAAATACATAACTGAACTATGAAAATGAGGTCAAGGTCAGATGGCACCTACCAGTTGGACATGTACACCTTACAATCATTCCATACACCAAATATAGTAGACATATTGCTTTTAGTATCTGAAATATGGGACTTGACCACGAAAACTTAACCTTGTTCACTGATCCATGAAATGAGGACGAGGTCAGGTGAAAACTGTCTGACAGGAAAGAGGACATTGCAAGGTACCAAATATAGTTAACATATTACTCACAATAAGAGAGAAATTAACATTACAAAATTTTTTTTTTTCAAGTAGGAACAATACCACGAAGATGACGTCAAGCAGAATGGACATATGACTGGCGGACACTTCATAACATAAGGCATCTATAAACAAAGTATGAAACATCCAGGTCTTCAACCTTCTAAAATATAAAGCTTTTAAGTAGCTAGTTAAAGCCGCCGCCGCCACCGGATTACTATCCCTATGTCGAGCTTACAGCGCAGGCTGAAAAAAAAACCAATACCGTATAGGCAGCAGCTTTAAATAAACACAAAGCAATTCAAACGAAAAATCAACAGCTTAAATTATGAAAAAAAGATAAACGAAAAACAAATTATCAACTTTTTTTTAAATATACTGCCGAAATTTACTCAAATTTATTTTAAGTAAATTACTTACTTGGGTAATGTCTGATTTTTTTTTCTATTTGTTATCATTGGCTATGAACTAGCTGTCAATCTCAGATCTGTACTTTTTTTTGTGTTGTTGTTATGGGGATGTATAAGTACCCTGCCAAGTCCGGTCTGTGTTTTTTTTCGTTAGACGTATTTTTGCTTTGTATCGATCTGATGAGTTGAGCACTTTTCAACTGATTTTTTATAGTTTGTTATGTTGTACTGCTACAACACTGTCCAAGGTTATAGGAGGGTTGGCGCCTTCAAACTAGTTTAACCCTGCCACATTCTGGATGTGCCTGTCCCAATTCAGGAACCTGAAATTCAGTGGTTGACGTTTGTTGCTATAAATCATATTTGTTTCTCATTCATTATTTTGAAAATAAATCAGCCGTTTTCTCGTTTGAAGTGTTTTACATTTGTCATTTCGGGGCCTTTTATAGTTGAGTATGCGGTATGGGTTTTGCGCATTTTTGAAGGCCGTAAGGTGCTCTATATTTAGTTGTTAATTTCTATGTCATTTGGTCTCTTGTGGGGAGTTGTCTAATTTGCAATCATACCACATATTCTCATTTTTATATTAGTGACCAAGGACAATAACTGAATCATACGCTCCGGACTTGGGACGTGCACATATAGAATCAGATGTACATTTTGCATGAGTTTTGTGACAGGCAAGAAAAAGTAAAATGCATCTGGACTCCTAGAAAGAAAGTATAGTTGTTTATAGGCACTGGCTACAGTTACATGGAAATGTAACAATAATAAAAAAAGTTATTGTTACATTGGAGACTAATTGCCGGAATACAGCTGGGTTGGGTAAGGATCCGATTAATTACGAATGTAACAATAATATTTGTGTCTGCGGTTACATTGCGTTATTGTTACATTAATGCACTTCAATGTACGCTAGATTTATTAAACTTAAACCTTCTATAGTTTTGTTGCTTAATTTTTTTCGCCAATAAGAACGAAATTACGATCACAAAATATCTGGACTCTGAAAATGAAAACACTGATTCCACCAGTTTCAAAATGTCGGGAAATGTTAACATCAATTACCTTCACAATAGACTTGTATTTTTAGTTTTATTATTTTTTTCAGCTATGCTAAGTTGGATATTGAAATCGGAGGTGAACATAGAGCCTGTGTCGCTCACCTGTATTTACTGATGCTTTGGAAATCATGTAAAATAAGGTTAAAATCATAATTAAT